TAGCTCCTGTAATAAAGGGGAAAAAAAGCACCAATACATAGCCTGGGGATTTTAAATGTAGTCTTATAGACCCACTTGCGCAGTTATTTCCTCACCATTCATGTACAGATGTTATTTACTTCTAAAATTATCAAGCAAGTTCACAAGAGCTCAAATCTGTGCAGGAGTTTGAAAGCTGTACATTATTTTCTAATCTTTAAGGAGTAAAATATAAATCACCGAAATAGGAAAGTAATGCTGAAATGGCCGTGAAACCAGGCTACCAAAAAAAGCTATTAAGACAAAGAACAAGTCAAAGATTTTGTTGAAAATGTTAGACAAAAATTAGAGCATTTGTCCGGCCTATTTTCTCACGCCGGGTCTCTACTTTAATGAACTTGACCCCACACTGAAACAGCTGGACATCGTCCTTAGAAAGCGAAAACAAGATCCCAGTTGTTCACATCGTATTTCACATCTTACATCTTAGGTAAGGGAGTATGATCACTATTATTAGAGCATGATCAAAGTAAATACTGAAGCTGTGACTTGGAGGAGAGCTTCTGTTGTGTCTGCCCCGAGTTACAAAGTTTGATCTATAATCTGTGACCTTGACCTGCTGCTACACCCAGCGTCTGTAACATGTCCAGGGACAGCAGACTGTGAAGACACAAGCAGACTGCAGGAAGGCAGAGACGATTTTCATATGCCATTGACTGACCTATTCATAGAAGAGAGGCTGCACTGTGGATTGATTTTTCTTTTTTCTTTTTTTGGCAGGGGTGACCTTTGGGTGCAAGCCTGGTATAAACTGAGGCCTGAGAAAAATGGGTTCTTGCATTTGGATATGTGGGCAATGGAAGGTGTTTTCCAAAATTCAGGACAAAAAGTTCAAAAAGAGACAAACAAATGACAAAACACCTTTTTCTGTCTCTTAAAGCCATGCGTCAGGATCAAGCTCATGAAGTATGCCACATAGTACATGGTTCAAACATCAGAAGGTGAAGTATTCACAATAATACTGAACACCCTATCTTTATGGTGTCGTTACAAACGGCCATCATGAGAGACGAGACACAATAACTGTTTAGTCATGACAGCTCATAATTTCAGTCTCTTATTTAAGGCATCCTTAGATTTTCAATCAGAAGAATTTGAAAGAGCTGTCAAAAGTGACATCGTGTTGTGTTAGGACAGGGTAGGATAGTACTTTATTGATCCCCAGAGGGGAAATTCGGGCGTTGAAGCAGCACAGAAAGTTGATTTCCCTAATGGTTAACAGATAAGGTATTGAAACGATGCAGCTCTATATATAACAGTCTGTTGAACTCGTATTTTTAATGGGCCTTCCTTCTTTTTTTTATATATATTTATTTTTGGATGGACAGTGGATAGAGCAGGAAATCAGGAGAGAGAGTGGGGAATGACATGCGGAAAAAGAGCCGCAGGCCTGACTTGAACCCGGGCCGTCCGCTTGGAGGACTAGCCTCTGTACATGGGTCCTAAATAACTGCTGGGCTATCAGCACTCCTAAAGGCCCTGACCCACCAATAAGATTACTGTCCGTCGATCCTAGTTGGACCATCGGTAAGCGATCGTCGCCCTGGTTTTTGCAGGATGTCCAGCTCAGTCGCTACCTGTCAGCCCCTGCCTGCCTTTTTTGGGGCAATTCGACATGTTAAATGCATACGTCGGCAAAGGCGCGGTTAGGGAGAGGAATCACTCTGATTGGCTCTTCTTTTCTTTCTCCTTATTTGTCGCCTCACACTCTTCTTTTCTTTTTCCATTAGGAGACCAAGGACTAACAAAGCCAGTGCCATTTCCAACTTTTTATCAGACATTATACTCCATTATTAGTATCTATATTACAAGTGGTGACCGACAGCGGTGTGAACACTCTTATCATATCAACTGACTACCGCCGCCTGCTGGCATGGGGAGTCATTCCCTCTCATGTATGCGCAGAACGTACATGGTGGTTGGCCATCCGCTGTAGTCTTTGCTGTGTGTTCTAGTGCAACTTTTTGAGGCGACGCAACAGTTGATCTTCGTTGCCACTAGTTCTTTGCTGTCTGCTTGGTATGTCAGGGCCTTTAGAGCACTTGAATTGCTGCTTTAACTATAATTATTAATGGAATTGTAGCAACCATGTGTGTATAGTGAAGAAAATTGAGATTGACATTATTAAGATTCATCAAGATGCATTTTGATTTGTAGTGATGTCAAAATACAGTTTGAGTTTTAGCTGGCGAAGGATTAGATGCCCTATCCGAAAAAGAAATGCAATCCTGTGATCTGAACCAAACTGGGGTCGGTTGCACCACCACCACGCCACTTTAAGTCACACTGTTCTTGTCCAGTCCATACACGGGCTGACAAATAAATGCATAATAAACACTGAGCAGGGCAAGTATGGCGAGTGAGACCTGCTACTAATGCAAAAATATCAATTCAATATCCTTGGAATTCACGCCCAAAAACTTAAACTTAGACTTCTTGTACTGCCAGTTAGTGCCTCTTACCACACTCCAATATTTGAATATGAAACTCCCACCAACAACACAAAGATGAATTGGGGTCTTTGTTGTTCTTTGTTTTAATATAGAAACATAAATTTCTCAAACTTAAAAGAATAGTTAATTGGGAACATCAACAAACTTCAGGTCATGACACCTGTAAAATGTCCGTAATCCAAATCATATATTGGGCAATTATTGAAAGAGGGGGTTTCTATAGCTGGTCAAAGATTTGACAGCTACTTTAGTTCAGGGGTTAATGGCCTGCCTACTGCCTTTACTGTGCTAATGTTTCCATGAGGGAACTGTTGCTAAAAGTCATCTGATAGATAGATAAGAGCTTTCATGCAGCTTTCAAACCTCATCAAAATCTTTAACTCGAGACTCAATCAATTACCGTAGATAATATTTAATGTGGCATTTGCTATATTTTTCCACAGTAACATTCCTTTGCTTACCGAGGTGTTCCATTTTCACCTTAGTCGGTAATGGAAGAGGGGACATTCAAAACACAACCATAGGCTTATTACCTGTTAGTCATGGATCAGGGCTTCTGCAGACCACAATGATCCTTTGAAAAAGCCCTATTGCTTTGAACTTGGTTTCGACCTGCTTGTTGCCTTTTTTTCTCTCTTCCTGTGGGCGAGGTTGATTATTAATGTCCCTTTTATTTGTTGGTAGAAGAACAGTAGTATGAGCACATGTATGGGTTTATGGATTTATTTCTATCTATGATTCAGAAGCAGGGTCTGAAAGAGCCTTACTACAATATTTCACAATCACTCAAATATATCAGTGAGGTTGCAAGGAAGATCTGGCATGATGGCTGTCTGAAAATGGGATAAACATCTTTATAAAGTCAACTGACCCAAGGATAGGCCTTATCAGCATACAGAGACCTCCCTTCCAGTAATCGTCACGGCTGTAACCATCAACATAAAAGCCCTTTTGATAGTGATTGTTTCCATTTGCTTGTGTGAGTGATTGTTCAATTTAAGAGTGACACACTTCCAAATATGTAGTAAAATACAATAAGTAACTGAGTATGACAAAACATTAACTGAATGGAGCCAAGTTTTGCATATATGTGTGTTCTACAGTATTTGAGAGTAAACAGACTTTTAATGAAGACTTTGCACCGCTGAAAATATGCTTTATTAAATATCATTCCCTCCCCTGTGCAGACCTGTGCTATTGGTCAGTTCCACTCTTCCAGTGGCATACATCACACCCCTTTACACACCTGAGACAAACTGAGATAAAAAGCTTTATCTGTTGGGAAATCAGGCCGGCTGTTAGATAACTGGGATTAAGACTGGAGCTGAGGTAGTTTATTTATTGACCACTTTACCGACCAGCCCAAAATAAGGTTTTTTTAAACCAGTGGATATACAGTACAGTCGTTTCTTGAAACTGTTCCCTAACAAAGACCTTCTTGTACGTTGGCCAGCTTTAAAGTGCTCTAATATTTGTTTTTAGTCACCCATATTGACACATAACCAATAGACTCCAGGAATGTCACAAGAGGTGGGTCACACAGCACCTCTTTCTTATCGCTCTTTTTCCACCTGTTGCGCTCCTATCAAGCTAACGTACACTACAGACACTCACGTGCAGAGACTTCTTAAAGACGTTTTTTTTACAACAGCATTATCAGGTCGCAATGTCCAAATGGCTCTGTGTACTTTTAAAGAATATGGATTGCATAAGTTGACATTCCTGATGGCTCATCCTTTAGGCTTATCTTTGCTGTGTGTGATGGAGGATTAGCTCTGACCTGCAAAAGAAAAAATGATACTTTGTATGAACTCTTACTTTGGTGTATTCATTTTGATCTATCATAACGATTCAGGCCTAAGGGTTGTTTTAATGTCTTATTATTTCACTTTTTTCTTGTTGATTATTAAACATGTTATTTCTTTAGCATGTATTTGCCTGTGCAGTGTATGCACTTTGTATTGCCTCAGATGCCTACTGTATCTTTTTAGATAAACATGCTAAGTGCAAAATCTTCCTGAGAGGCGATATTATTAAGTGTTTTAAAAGGTGTTACGTATGTATTTAAATCAGTTTTATTCACGTGACCATGTTTCTATTATTCTGGATGCTTTCAAAACACAGTAGTTTGTTCAGTGCCACAAAATACTATGCGACCCAATATGGTAATTCAATGTCTCTGTTCTGTCATTTTACTTTTTGTAACCTAAATAATAATTGAAAAGTTTTACTCAATTCCCCCCCCCAGTTTTATTCTAGGTTATTTTTTGCTTTTTCCAAGTTAAAGTCAGAAAATATTCAGTTTTATGCCCTAGCAACACTAAAACAGACCTTTCCTATCAATATTTACTGTGACCAAGTAGTTGTCGTCACTTTAAAAGAATTTTACAGTCCAGCCCCTTTCATGTCTCACTGCCCTCCAGTCGTCTCTCTCCCCGCCCACTGCAGAGGTTACACCTGGTGAGGTATTGGGGCTATAAATGCCTGACACCCTCCGCTCTGCTCTGAGAACAACCAACCAGGGCCCACACCTCTGTGCTGGCACTGATAGGGTCTCATTAGCTGTGTTTCCACAGAGAGGCTCTTCAACAGTTACTGCTCATCATTCATTCTCCAGCTCATCAAAGAGGGAGACAGTATTAGCAACGGGAGAGCAGCTGAGAGGCTGCCGCTAAGGGATCAGCTATGCTCCGAGGCATCCACACTGATTTGTTGGTCACAGTGACTCTAATCTTTTTAACTCAGACTGGGACTCCGATCAGGTGGGTCTCTTGATAATTAACATTTCAACTGTCTGGTTTGAAATACCTACTAAACTTTTTGTAATAAAGTCAAAAAGTGGAAACAGAAGCAGGACATGGTTTTTAGTTCAAGTATGATTTTAAAGTCAATAAGATACTTCAATTTATGGAATGTACTTCCACAAGGAATCTGATCTCTTTTTTTTTTCCTATTTCAGGGCTGAAAATGATTTTTCATTAGTTACTTTACCAGAAAGGAGAGAAAATTCAGGTATGAATTTATGTAGTCGATAATTGCTAGAACTTCATTTGACACAACAATAAGATTTTAATGCATTTACTGAACTTAACCCTCTCATTTTTTCCATAGAGTATGTTTCAGAATGTTTCTACGACAGGCACAACAATTACTTTTGTGACTGGACAAGAAATCAACAAACAACAGGTACAGATGCCGAGTCAATTAACTGAATGTATCAATGAAAATTAAAGCAGAAGGTTTTTTTGTCATCAAACCAGGTCATAGTTCAGTCAAGTAATGAGTTCACTTTGACATTATGAGATAACTTGACTGAGGCAACCTTTACAGTAATAATGTCCCGCCCTTACATTTGGCATATGGGATATCAGTCAACAGATCTTTTTTTCATCTTCAGGCAGCGTGAGAGTGTGTCTGCCGAGCAACACATGACCTGAAGCAGGCTAATATTATTTTATAGTCTGGTTCTCTCCCAGTAGCAGTTAAAGTGGAGGGCCTGCACTAATGGCGCAAATGTAGTGCAACACTTCTTCACAGCTATTTTACGTGTATTATGATGATTGTACCCCTCAACATAATTAAAATAATGACCAGAGAATCATTTGTTATATCTGATGTCGTTAAAATTATGACATCATTAAAGCTCATTCTTGATAGGCATGATTAAAATAAATATTGTATTTATGTTTGGGATTTAACGGACACATACATATGTCCTAGCAGATAGGTCGTGCCCCATGTACAGAGGCAATAGTCCTCCAAGCGAGCGTCTGGGTTCAAGTCCAGCCTGTGGCTCTTTTCCCACATGTCATTACACAATCTCTCTACCTAGTTTCCTATCTAATAAAAGCAAAAAGGCCAAATTACTCATTTCAAAAGTTTGAAACAAAGTATTCAATTGCTGTAAATCTATTAAAAATAGATCACTTTTTTGTGTTGATGAAATCAGTATTGAATTGTCTTGTTGACCCTTTCCCCCTCAGGGGATGATGCAGTTAATACTTTAGAGAGTGGTCCACTGGGAATGGAGGGGGAGGCCTGTCTGGAGTTCTGGTACCTAGCTGGCTCAGATGTCCGGGCTTTGTTAAAAAGCAGCCTTGGTGAGGTTGAAATCTGGTCATCACCTGCATTAACAGAGGAGACTTGGAGACACGTGTTTGTTCCCTTGAACGTCACCGAAGCAGGGACTCAGGTATGACTACAGATTTGTAATGAAACTGTATGGAAGAAATAGAATATTGGATATAGTTCAACGAATGATCTGCTTTTTAAATCAGGTTGTATTCAAGACGGTTCAAGCAGCTTCCATGGAAGGACAAGTCACACTTAAACAAATAGGTGTGAGGAGAGGCTCATGTGGTAAATATTTTTTACTCGTGTTTAACTGCAAAAAGACAAGTCCACTTCTGGTCCCATCAAATTAGAAAAAAATACATATTACACTATATTCATGTTAGAATCTTGATGACAATGTCGATTTAAGAAAGAAACCATAACTGTCATAACACTTGACAGATTAGTGTTAATGAAGGATCCTAAATCACCTTCTGGAGATATTTAAATGTTTCATCTATTATTATTGACAGGAACAAATATTAATAAGTTGGTGAGGAGTCTCTTCATTGTTTTAATAAATGAAAATTAAGAACATGCTTATCTAATAAAAGTCACTTGTAGGTTGGTTGACAAGGATTGTTAAGTCCAGTCCATACAGCGTTATCAGCAAAAATGATTCATTGCATGAAACTGATCATTGTTACCAGCCAGATGGTATAAAATGTGAATGGTTAATTGGTCCCTCCCCCCAACAGGACCACAGTGTGAATCCAACACAGAGTTATGGACAGATGAGTCCACTCGCTGCCTTTGCTCTGATGGCCAGCTCTCCTGCTCTCTCTCTCAGTGCCCTCAGGGCCAAATCTGTGGCTCTCAAAGAGGAGGCTCCACTGGGATTTTCGCCTCTGGGACATGCACGATCCATAGTGACACAGACTGCAGCACTTTTGATGGAGTGCTGTTCCGCTTCATGGCTCCCTGCTCCTATGTACTGGTTAAGAGCTGCTTACCCAGCGAGGCCCCGCCTGCGTTCATTGTGGAAGTGGTCAATGAGCAAAACGGGAACTCATCTCTCTCGACTGTACAGCAGGTTGTTGTGGTCGTGGGGCACCACAGAATTTCCCTGATGAAGAAGATAACGCGCTGGGTTGTGGTGAGTTAAAGTGGATATCCAGGGAGGCCAGAAACAGCATCTACCAATGTAAAAGTGATCAATCATACTGCCCTGTTTCCTTTTGATCTTTCCTTTAAAAAACACTGTATTCCCAACAGATATTTTACACTGCTCCTTTAACTCAAAAGTAACTTCAGTACCTTCTTTACAACTTCAGTTTCTTAATAAGTGTTGGGCTATGTAATTGATTTAACAGTTTCAATGTTTTCAGCCCACTCTACTGATAAACTGTGTTAATCATAAAGTGCTAGGTTTATTGTCATAATGTCCGGGAATTCTTTAGACTTATCAGCCTAAGATAGATCCATCTTAGGAACACTGCTGTTTATACAAACTGTAAGATAGAGTAAGCTCTTACTGCTGATAAAAGCTGGTTAGGAATTCTAACACTTGCACTGTTTTTAGGTCAATGGAGTCTGGCAGAAGCTTCCACTGAACATCCACAATGTCCACATCGAGAGTAACCCCGTTGCTGTGTCACTGAGAACAGACTTTGGTCTTTCAGTTTCATACGACAGCGCTGGTGCAGTCCACGTCAAGCTGCCAATCAAGTACTCTGATAAAGTCTGTGGCTTGTGTGGAAACTTTAACCAACTCGAAGAAGATGACTTCAGAACGCCTAATGGGTCAAATGCAGGAGATGCGACAGCTTTGGCTAAGAGTTGGCAGACGAGGGAAACCAGCTCCTCGTGTGAAACCATGCTGGTACCACATCAGTGTGACCCACTGGAGGAGGCGGAGTATGCCAGTGAGCTTTACTGTGGAGGCCTCCTCTCGAGTACTGGGCCCTTTTCCAACTGCCTTTCAGTGGTGGGGGCAGAGAGCTACTTCAGGGGCTGTGTCGTCGGCATGTGCTCTACTCACGGTGACCCTGGAGTACTGTGTGAGACTTTAAAGGTCTATGCTGATATCTGCCAAGAGGCTGGAGTGGCTGTACCTCTCTGGAGGAACTCTTCATCCTGCTGTATGTTGCTTAATTTCTTCCAGCTTTTTAATTCTTTAACTCAGTTAAAACATTTTCTATTTGTCAAATAATGTGTGCGATAAGGTCAAGTATTCTCCTCTTTTCTTCCCTCTCAGCCCTTCAGTGTGGTGAGAACAGCCATTATAACTCTTGTGCTGATGGCTGTCCAGATGTGTGCCCAGCATGGATATAGTTGGCTCCTGTGGAAGCTGTGTAGAGAGATGTGATTGCGACCCAGGCTACAAACTCGATGGGGGAAAGTGTGTCCCAGCAGAGGGCTGTGGGTGCTGGTATGAAGGAAAACACTATGAGGTAAGTGTGAGGTACTATCTCCTTTGCCACATTCCCTTTGAAGTGCAGATGTATTTAAACAACTCACTTTGCTTGCAGAAAGGAGAAACATTAATGGAAGGAGAGTGTGTGCAGCAATGCAAGTGCATGGGGAATAATGAGTTGGAGTGCAAAGCAATGCGGTGCGCAGACAGTGAGGTCTGCAAGGTCAAGGATGGAGTCAAAGGCTGCTTTGCTTTCCATCCTGTCACCTGCAGTGTGTATGGGGATCCACATTATATCACCTTTGATGGGTTGGCCTACGATTTTCAAGGAGGTTGCAGTTACACGCTGATGACAACATGCGGAAGAGAAAGCACAGTCCAGTTCACTGTAATCGGACACAACATGCATCCCGCCCTTCAGAACTTCACCCGGTCCAAGCTGCAAGCTGTGTCTCTTCAGGTCGATGATCTATACCTCAACCTGAATACGAGTGGAGAAGTCTATGTAAGCATGAAAACACTTTTGATTTGATACACTTCAAACAAGTTGTAATTGTAAATGCAAAATACTTTTTAGTTTATTGGATTTATTGCTTTAATTTATTGCTTTAGTATCAGCACACACATTTATAAGGGTGAGTTATTACTCTGTGACAGGTCATTGGAGGAATTCATTTGTTTGCATATCTTGGACTTACAACGACACACAAACTAAAAGCCAACCCACTTGACTTTGCCCTTAAGAGCTGGTTGGCAGCAAATTAGTTGCAAAGACTATCCCAGTGAGAGTAAACACTGATCCTTTATGTAAGACATCATCAATAAACTCACAGCCTAACAAGAATAAATCCACATCAAAATATGAATTGTGTCTTTTTAGGTGAAAAACAACTCTGTTGGAATCCCCTATTTCACCAATGGCACATATGGCTCAGTATGGGTTAATAGGTGGAATAACTATATTATCTTGGAGTCAACCTTTGGCCTCAGGATTATGATAGATGGGGAGAACAGGCTGTTCCTGCAAGTGGATGACCGCTACAAGTATGAACTGTGTGGACTGTGTGGCACCTACTCTGAACACCAGGATGATGACTTTATAACACCAGGAGGCCAAAATGCTACTGGGCCATTTGAGTTTGGTGACAGCTGGAGACTTCCAGGCAGTGATGAGTAAGCTGTTATTACCACAATATATGCACTTAAATGTGTTCAGATGAATAGAATGTTGAGCAATATTAAGGTTTCCAAAAGAAAAAAACATACCAATCAACAGCAGGTTCAATGGAGAGACTAGCATTGTGGTGCTAATTATAGTCCCTTCAACCTTATCTATACTGTGTTTACAGTTAATTAGTAAATGATAGCATTGAAATGCTCTAAACTAAGATCAGGAACATGATAGCATAACTGCTAAAACAGCATGCTAGCATTGTCGTTGTCAATATGTTATCAATTTATTCAAACATTCATTTCAAACTGCTACTGTGCCCAAATAAATATTTTAATTATCTACAGCTTATATATATATATATATATATATAGGTAATAAACTAACCTTATGTAGTTTTACAACAAGGTTTTCTTGATAGGTTTATTTCATACCACATAAAAAAGAATCTAAATTACTACAAGCTAATTAAAATCTGAACACAAGCACATAAAGTGGGACACATTGGCAGAAAATAGCTGAAAACCTTGCAACCAAAAGATTACTTTTAATTTTTTCATTAAACAAGTTGTTAAAGATGCAAATATGAATAAATAATTAACCATTAATAAACATTAAAGTCAATTTATAAATATGATTATTTAATTTAAGTTCTCTGATATTCTTCACACCAAAATCTTCACTTGCTTACTCCTTGTTTGTACGTCCCTCTCGAGCAAGAGAATCCAAAGGCAGATATCGCCCTCTGCTGGTTTTAATAAACAGCATTGTAATATTCCTTTTTCTAAAATGTAATTTAATTGTCCATTTGTGTTTCAATTTTAAATGTATTGCCAGGTATAATCCCTAGTGAAAGGTGCTATAAATCTATTATTATTTCTTATTAAATGTAAACTTTGTTCTCTAGGTGTGTTGCTCAACCTAATGATCCAAGAGTCTGTGATTATGAAGAGGAGAATGAAGCATACAATGAGTGTTTCACACTAGTAGGGGAGCCCTTCAAGCCCTGCCATGAAAGAATTCACCCAAGCATCTACCTTAATAGTTGCGTCTACGACTACTGTGACACAAGTGGTGACCAAAACACCCTATGCGAATCTCTAAAGTCCTATGCTGCAGCATGTGAGGTTGCAGGAGTGGAGCTGCTCAACTGGCAGATGGACACTGCCTGTGGTGAGTGTTTACATCTGACATGATGATGATGATGGGTTGCAAAAAAGTATTGTTTGTGACTGAATTCATAAAACAATTGAGCCAAATACAGTAGAGATTTCTCAGCACTAAAGATCAGATATAACTTTTTCAGTTAAATGCCTTTTATTACCTGTAGCTGGTCTTAAAATATTTTTATTCTAAAACACTCCATAATTCAGTCTTTTAATTATGGCAACAATTGGCAATTGCTTAAGTGCCCATCAGGCAAATGGTTCGAGCTATGTTTGGGTGTTTTGTCATTGATTTAAGCAGAGCTGGAGAAATTGGATGGTTAACATGTGGAGGGGTTGGCCAAACTCAAACTATTTTATAGGGTACAAAAAAGCTTACTGGCATGTTTGATTGGTTATTTGTTTCATTTTTGTCCCAATTTCAGCTGACCCCCCAACCACTGCAACACCTCCAACAATTCCAACTGCTTCCTCTCCAACACCAGATCAGATTTGTAAGAGCCTTATGAAACAGAATATTTACTTGTTTGGATTTGCAGCGCAGTTAAACATTTATTTCAACTGTCTTGCTGTCACACATTATGTATGATATTCTTAAACTTAATCTTTTCGTTCTATAATGTTCTCGCTATTAACATTAGCTTTGACTACTCCGTTATGTGTTCATCTGCTTTTTCATAGTGTGTCCCATGAATTGCGACTTTGAAAAAAATATGTGTGGATGGGAACAGCTTATACAGGACAGTTTTGATTGGACAAGAAATTCAGGATCCACACCATCAGATCAAACAGGTCCAAACCAAGACCACACCACTGGAGGTAAAATGCTTGGCTATACCATATCTGATTTGTTGCTCCTCTGATTTTCATTTTAAATGCTGATTGTGCTGATTTTCAACATTTCTCTAGCTGGTTCCTACATGTATATTGAGGGAAATAGTGCGACACATGGAGACTCAGCTCGTCTGATAAGCTCAACGTGCCATTTTAATGGCCCACTCTGCCTACACTTCTGGTACCATATGTATGGTTCATCTTCAGCCATGGCCCTCAATATCTTCCTGCTCAAAGGCAATAAGGCCACCAAGCTTTGGTCACGGATGAACAACCAGGGACCAGAATGGCATCCAGTAAATGTTGATATTGAAGTGTCTGGTCCGTTCCAGGTAAGTTATGCACAATATGTGAGAATATATGCTATATGAATAGTATGAAACTTTAGATATAACTGAACAACAAACAGCTCAAAAATAACCTGAAAGACATTGGACTTTGAGAAAACATTGACAGTTATTTTTGTCTTTCGGATGCTTTCCGCTCTTGCCTGCCATTTTTCTTAAGACGGATATGATGTCACGATTATGGATCCCATTTAAAAAATATTTTCAAAATCATCCAGTAACAAATCCAGATGCTTTCGTGAATAGATTCTCTTTCCCAGTCCTAATGGCTGGCACGTCATAAACTTAGTCTGTAAAATGTCCTGGACTTGTTAATTTACACTCAGAACTAGAAAATTCTTCATTTATGTGCAATACTTTGTGCCATAGTTACACAGTTTAACACTGCTGATGCATATTTGTGAAATGTGTGCTTGTATAGCTTGCTTCTTCTTCTGATACCCTTACTTTGGTACTTAGTTCTGCTTATTCCACTTAAATATATATATATATTCTATAGTTCCTACTTTTTATTTTGTTTGAGAGGAACTGTAACGACCAAATTAATAAAGCATTTCTGATTCTGATTCTAACTCTTTCAGATCTTAGTGGAGGCAATTCGAGGCTCTAATGATCAGTCAGATGTGGCCATTGATGACATTTCCATCCACTTTGGCTCTTGCAAAGGTAAAATTAACTTCTAGCAAAAATAAGAAATACTTTCAGCTTGATTTTAAAAATGCAATGATCTTAATCAATCATGGCTTTCAGTTAAACATTTCTGATACATTTCCAAGATCCCAGCCAGGTTTTGTTTGGACAGATAATGCCATGACCATTTCTAGATATGTAAGGTTTGAAGAAAGTAATTTATTACTTCCTTTAGGCATCTTCCCTGACCTGGTTAGTGGAACCATACTTCCTTTCACAATTGCAGAAATACCTTCACACACACGTAAGTACACAGGAAGCAATATTGAATGGGCCATTTGTTTCTGCATTAGAAGCTGGAGTCTGGTTACAAATTAACATTTGTGCCCAGTCCATTGCTGAACATGCATAGTTTTGATTGCAGCTGAAGTTACAGACTATCTAAAAGAAGGAAGTTGGATTAAGGCCTCAGTATTTTGTTCCTTTTTAACCTTTTGCTTTTTCCCTTATAGTCTGCGGTCTTGACTGCAGCTTTGACAGCAACCTTTGTAGCTGGAGTCAGATGATCACAGACGCTTTTGACTGGACATGGAACAGTGGTTCTACCCCCACCCTAATGACTGGGCCCTCTGCTGATCACACTGGTGGTATTACACCCTATCTCTATGAAATATTATACATGGTGACGGTTTAAGTAAAATTTATAATACAGAAGAGCCAACAAGATCGTTCTAAGTGTATCTTTGTTTATTTTAGATTTTGATCATGCATTTCACTACTCTTTCTAGATGGCCACTATCTTTACATTGAGGCCAGCAGCGTGACACATGGCGACACAGCTCGTCTTATCAGTTCTGAGTGTTCTGACTCTGGACCTCAGTGTCTGCAGTTCTGGTACCATATGCATGGTTCTGCAGACACAATGGGCCTCCATGTCTACTTGCTCCAGGATAGATTAGCCAATGCTGTTTGGTGGAAGAGGAATGATCAAGGAAATATGTGGCAACTGGCTCAAGTGGACTTCACAACAACTGGAGCCTTCAAGGTCAGCCACCTTCAACCAGACACTCAAATCATTTATAAATTACAATCCAATGATATTGATCAGATGGAATACTAATGTATACAAACATCCTGAAAATACCTTTGTTATCCCATATAGATCATCATTGAGGGACGTAGAGGCTCCAATGAAGAGTCTGATGTTGCTATTGATGATGTAATGCTTCATCATGGTCGGTGCGCTGGTAAGGAACAGGCACACAGAATAAGTACTGCTAAATTCTAAACATGCAGGTTCTTCACCACTGGAAGCTTGGGCTGGGCGATATGGGCGATAAAATCTAAGACTGTTTTTACACCAAACTCGATTAATGATTTAAATCGACTTTCTTTCTATTAAAAAAAACTATAAATTATACTTTTATTTGATCATTAAAATTACAAAAAGACAAACTGAATTTCCCATTGAGGATTGATAAAGTAACCTGAATTTCTCTTTTGGGGTTAAAGTGCAAGCTGTGAACTTGTCTTTAAAAGTGCACTATTGCAGTTTCAGGGTAGAGCAAAAGTACAGTTGAGGCAAAGCAACTTCAGCAAAAAAACTTGGTAGGAAGTAAAGGAGGAGGGAGGATATGAACTACGGGAGCCCATGGGGGGTGGTGGAGTAAGTTAAACAGAAATCATGTTTTTCATTTTTGAAAATCCAGATTTTCCCAAAAAAACAATAATCTCTATTAAATTAATTTGCGCTTCCCAGTCCTTCTGGAAGCTTGATGAAGTTCTAAGTATTTGCTCATATTGACCATATTTTGCACTGTTGCAGATCTGAATGATGTTGTGACAAATCCTCCTGTACCAGAGGGGAACACCACAGCCCCTGCACCAACCTCCACTCGAGAGCCTCCTCTAGTCTCCTCAACTGTTAAAACTGTCACCTTACCTCCCATAGTAGAAGCAACAACCCACTTAGTTACTGTTAACAATGTTACTGACGATTCAGATAATGGCTCTCTTCCACAACCAGGTAAAGTACAGATTAAAAAGCAACAACCCCCCCCCATATTTATTACATTTACAAGGATTCAAGGATATTTCTGACTTTTGATTCCAGTATGCCAGCTCCACTGTAATTTTGAACAAGACGTATGTCAGTGGAAACAACTTCTTACTGATGTTTTTGACTGGACTAGACATAGTGGCGCCACTCCTACTATGATGACTGGGCCTTCCTCGGATCACACCACAGGAGGTAATCATCTTTCTGACACAAGCCAAGTACATTTCCTGTAGAGCTGTCAGGGAACAAATGATCCAGTTTCGTAGTCACACTTAAAAACTTGTGAAAAACTCATTGTTGAAGCAGTTCTTCCTTGTTGAACCACAATTGTTGACTGTCTTGTGTAAAGATATAACATGTTTCCTTGAGGCTCCTGATGTGTAATATTTTTTCTGTTCAATTTTTTTTCTCAAAATGTAGTAACTAGTTTCAACTGCAATTGGATATGTTTTGGATATATAATTAACAAAAGAATATTTTAGTATTTTCCTGTGATTGACTAACTTACTAGCTCTTGTGTCCTTAACCAGATGGCCACTACCTATACATTGAAGCCAACGGGGTGTCACATGGAGACACAGCTCGTCTCATTAGTTCTGAGTGTGTTAACTCTGGTCCTCAGTGTCTGCAGTTCTGGTATCATATGTATGGTTCAGCCGATACAATGGGCCTCCATGTCTACTTGCTCCAGGATAGATTAGCCAATGCTGTTTGGTGGAAGAGGAATGACCAAGGAAATACTTGGCACCTGGCTGAGGTGGACTTAACAACAACTGGAGCATTCCAGGTGAGTAACCAATGAGGTTACCAATGAGGTCAAGCAATTCATTTGCTTGTCTTATCTGTTTAATGTTGAAAGCTGACAGAGCAAAACAAATATCTGAAACATTGATTGTGATAAAACTAACTAACCTGTGAACTTAATTTTAGATCATTTTGAGGGTCGAAGAGGCTCAAATGATCAGTCTGATGTGGCTATTGATGACGTGTCTCTTCATTATGGCCACTGTGCAGGTAATTCTACCCTCCTACTAATAACATTGTAATTCATAGGTCATGACTTTAAATTGATATGATTTATTTCATTTTTAACTTTAACAGACCTGGCTAAGCCCGTGACCCCTGCTCCCACAATATTTGAGACCCCAGCAACAGAAGGTCCAGAGCTTCCTTTTGTGAACAGCACAACTGCTACACAGCCACAGACATCAACGACCCAACAACCTTCAACAAATCAAAGTACAGCTAAGCCCCAACCAACAACAGAGAACCCACAACTTGAAACTTCATTGCAACCAAAACCTGAAAACACAGAACAACCCCAAACCACAACATGGACAGATCAGCCAGCTACATCAACGAATGAATCCCAAACCACAGCTAGACCCCCCCCAGTAACAACAGAGTACCCAGCACTCGAAACTTCAGAGCAACCAAATCCTGAAATTACGGAAAGACCAGACTCTACAGATAGACCTGTAAATCAAACACAGACACAACCAACTGCTCAGCCACAGCAACCAACAACAGAGGGACATCTACCTCTAACCTCAGTAAAACCACAACCTCCAAGCACAGCTCAGCCACAACCACCAACAACATCTCAACCACAGCTACCAACAACAGTTAAACCACAACCGCCAACAACAGATGGACCTCAACCTCCAACCTCAGTTAAACCACAACCTCCAAGCACAGCTCAGCCACAACCAACCACAACAGCTCAGACCCAGCCACCTACAACAACTCAACCACCAACAACAGCACAGCCACAGCTACCAACATCAGTGAAACCCCAACCCCCAACAACACAATCACCTACAACAGCACAGCCAGAAGCACCAACAACTGTGAGACCACAACCTCCAACAACAGCTCAGCCACAGCCACCAACAATGAAACCACAACCGCCAACAACAGGTGGACCTCAACCTCCAACCTCAGTAAAACCACAACCTACAACCACAGCTCAACCACACCCACCAACAACAGAGGGACCTCAACCTCAAACCTCGGTAAAACCACAACCTCCAAGCACTGCTCAGCCACAACCTCCAACAACAGCTCAGCCACAGCCACCAACATCAGTGAAACCCAACCCCCAACAACACAATCACCTACAACAGCACAGCCAGAAGCACCAACAACTGTGAGACCACAACCTCCAACAACAGGTGGACCTCAACCTACAACCACAGCTCAACCGCAACCTCAAACAACAGCTCAGCCACAGCCACCAACATCAGTGAAACCTGAACCCCCAACAACAGCTAAGCCACACCCACCAACAACAGTTAGACCCCAACCTCCAACTACAGCTCAACCAAAACCTCCAACAACAGCTCAGCCACAGCCACCAACATCAGTGAAACCACAACCCCCAACAACAGAAGGACCCCAACCTCCAACAACAGCTCAACCACAACCACAAACCACAGCTCAACCGCAACCTCCAACAACAGCTCAGCCTCAGCCCCCAATAACAGATGGATCAAAACCTTCAACAACTAGTAAACCAAATCTCACAACAAGTAAACCAGGGATTCACACGACAGCTTCATCACAATCAACGACAACAACCAGACCATCAAATACACCTGTACCAAGTAAGTTTTCATATCCCCTTTTAAACATGAACTGGGTTTTGCATTATGTTTTCTCCTTTACATGTTGGACACCACTTATTAAACCACATGCAAGCAAAGATACTCAAGACTTCTTTCTAATAAAGTGCATGGCACACTGATTACCTTTTCTGTTTATTTTAAGCCCTTGACTAAGTACACACTGTGTCTATATTTCTGTCACTCTAGCCCCCTCTTGCCCTGAGGATAGTCATTACACTACTTGTGTCCCATCCTGCAGTCCAACTTGTTCATCCCTGAATGGGCCACCACACTGCAGTGAAAATGAGGGTTGTGTGCAGGGATGTGTATGTGATGATGGATTCGTGCAGAAAGGCAGGGTTTGTGTGCCTATCCAACTGTGTGGATGTGTTGACAGGAATGGCAACAAACGCCAGGTGAGTTACCATTAAGTATGACTCTTCAATGGCAGCAGAAGTCATTGTGTACAGCTATGCTTTTCAAAGAGCCTGCATAGGACAATGCTGTGATGAATCTCTTTTTCTTTTAGTTCAGTGAAGAATGGTACACAAGTCACTGCAGTGAAAAATGTAAATGCAAGAAGGACAGTGGTGTGGGGAGAATTGAATGTGATGACAAGGATGAGTGTGATGGAAATGCTGTTTGCCTTCCAAACGAGAATGACGATTATTACTGCCAGTCAACAGGTGCTGTAAAAACATTTAACTCTGTGATATACCTACACCATGTTCTATCTTGTTCACAAACTTATGAACTGCTCTGTGTTGCTCCACAGGCTTCAGTGAGTGTTCTATCAAAGGGGACCCTGAGTACAGAACCTTTGACAGGTTTAAGCATGACTTTGAAGGAAGGCACTCATACGTGCTTATCCAGACCAAGAACTTGCCAAATAACCTTCAAGAAGTCTACATCGAGGGCATTAATAGACGCACAGAGGATGAAGATGATAGTCATCATCATGATGACAGTAGCAGTGAAGAAGACAACAGCCACAGAATCAGGGATGAAGATGAGGATGAGGATGATGATGATGATGATGATGACAAGGATGAAGATGACTCCCATAATGATGAAAGTGAGGAAGATGATGAACAAAACGGTTTAAGAGAGCTTAAAATCAGAGTGTACAATCACACTGTAGAGTTCAAGAAGAAGCGGAAGTTGACTGTAAGTATTCAGGGTGTGTTTAATGTCATACCCCCTTTCTTTTTAATATTCCTGTGAAGCCCTTCCAGCAAAACAACGTTATGTTCATAAGATAATTTAATCATAATTCTGTCTTTCCACAACACATTTGTTAAAGACTGAGGGAAATAACAATAGCTCCAAGAGTATAGTTTAATAACAGCAGCGAGCTGATGTAATGTGGGCTAAATTATGTTGATCAAATGTTGTATCCCTATTGTAAGTTTGTGGTTGTAAGAGAGTAAGAGTTTTGTAATTTTAGGACGGTCAGAACATAGTGTATCATATTTGATCAAACTCAAAATCATTGAGCATTGTAAAGCAAAAACTGTTATTAATAGGTAAGCTTAAAATCACTAACAGGGATGAGGTTGTATATCTACTAAGAGTGGAGCTTTTCCAATGTGTAATTTCACAACAATGGAATAGGGGTGGATGGTAACAATACTGACACCGGTATTACCTTCTACCCCTACATTGCAATCACTGCACATTTAGACAATGTATTATTTTTCACAAGCACTGGAAAAACATAGCTGAAGTTGAATGGAAAGTCTGTATTAAGCAATTACAAATACAAATTTTCCTCACTTGAAAAGTTCAAATAAAAGCTAATACAACTCAGTGGGATTATTATAAGAATGTGTACAGTAGTATCAATTTTAATTGCAAGCCATCAACTAATTGTTGACATATTTCTCTCTGAATTTTTCTGACTGACATACCCCTTAAGACACTATCATGGAATCTTGGAATGAAAAAAATATATTCAGTTCAGCATCCCTGCAAACATAAACATTAAATCAAGTATACATACTAGATACACCAGGTACACTTCATTGTGACAAATCCCACTGACACATCTTTATCTCTGTACCTGCAGATGGATGGAAAGAGAACCAACACTCCTGTATCACTTCCTGGTCTCAGCATTTGGCAGCATTCCTCTCGCATCTACCTGAAGACTGACTTTGGCCTTTCAGTGGAGTTCGATGGACAAAGTGAAGCAGGTAATTAAACTTCACCTTATTACGATAGTTTAACGGAATAGACAGTAATCTAAAACAAGTAGGGTTCATCACAAATCCTTAAGTCTCAATGTATCGTTCCAACGCAAATTAATGAATTATTTTGTCTTTTATAAAGTGTTGTATAATACATTAACTGACATTGTATTGTTGATGTTGTTTCTGCAGAGATCATTCTACCCAACACATATAAAAGGAAGGTGGGGGGCCTGTGTGGGAACTTCGATGGCAGAAAGCAGAATGACCTGATGATGCCGGATGGCACCAGGGCCAGGAACGTTCAAGAGTTTGGAGAGAGCTGGAGAGTTTGAATATCAGATAGATCTTGTGTTGAAACTCCGCACTAAAATAAATAGGGTGGTTTGAGCACTTGAAGAAACAATACTGAAGAATTTTACTATGAAATGCACATTGACTGAATCTATTACTTAAAATAATAAGAACAGACATATCCATGCATATTTCACTTTATTCAAGACAACTTAACCCCCAGTGCTTAGATAAAAGATAGCAAAAGATATATCAGTGGAAAGACCTCTCGAATGTAATCACATTATTCAAGGACTTGAATTGTTTCAACTAGAGTCTGTTTTGTAGTTTTCAAGTAAATTTAGAAAAAGTTACTTATCTCTTTGTGTATAGAGTCTTTGTCTTTTTAAAGATACTTTGCACTCTGAGCATAAACTGTATCTTCGGTACAGTTTGTGTCTTTGCCATAAATACTATTTATTCAATAGATGATGTTATTACTGTTGTGAATACACTGCATGTCTGTTTTACAAAGTAATGGCCGTGTTGAGATGAAACAAATGTTTCACTGTGTTAAGAGAAAGATAATTCATGACAATGAAGGATTTTCTATCACTATCTAAACTAGTCGGAAATACATTCAATGCGCAATAAACAAGTAATCAAGATGCTGCTTGTACTGTGTCATGATGTGTTTGGAAACATTGTGCACTGTCATTTGCGGTTCCTACTGAAGCTAAGACAACATTCCTGGTATATTTACAGTCTGGATGTGAAACCCATTTTGACCTCCAGATCTACAACGGGCGAGTCTAATCATTTAAGAAAAAAATTACAAAACTTCTGTAACATGATAGTCTGAGAAGGCAGACAATGGGATTCTTGTCATAGTATACATATGCGTGTTTGTATGATGTGTGTGTGTTACAGGCAAAGGGGGTGGTGTTTTTTTGTCTGTGAAAATCATCTATAAAAAAAAGTCTCAGTTATACTTACAGTCACGCAGAGTCATGGATTGTTTTGTATTTTTCTTCCCTCTCCTGTTGGGGTTGTTACCTCTCTATAACGGTGAGTGCAACATTATAATAAAATATATGATATCAATATTGCTTGGTTTATCTTGGTCTATTGCTTTAGCGATTGTGGTATCTAAGGTCCTTGAGAGTATTCTTTTAGGGCAGATATCTAAATATATTGGTACCACAGATAACCAGTTTGGCTTTAAATCTAAGCATGGTACTGATCTTTGTATTTATGCCTTGAAAGAAGCTGTTGAGGTATAGGAAAAACTCCTCAGTCCTCAAAGTTGTTTATGAAACTAAGTGAAAAGGGGGTCCCTGATTATATATTAAGGCTTCTGGCGTACTGGTATGCCAACCAGAGTATGCAAGTCAAATGGGGAGATAAAATTTCCTCCCCCTTTGGAGTGAGCTGGTGTGCGACAGGGGGGGGTTGCTTTCTCCTGCACTCTTTAACTTGTACATGGATGATCTATCTAACCCACTGAATGGTTGCAAAACTGGTTGTGTGTTGGGTAACAGTATAATCAATCACCTCATGTATGCTGATGATTTCGCAATTTATTCCCCTAGCAGCGCTGGGTTTCAGCAGCTGCTTAATATATGTTCTGATTATGGTCTAACATATGATGTGCAATACAATGCTACAAAGAGTACTGTTTTGATATGCAGAACAAAAGGGACAAGGACCTAAACTTTCATAATTTTTACCTCTCAGGACAGGTGCTGAGTGTGGGCACCAAAATAAAATATTTAGGTCACTTTATTACGGATCAAATGTCCGAATGATGACGACATACAGACAATGTCGAATGTTATGCCCAGGCCAATATGTTGGCAAGAAAATTCTCAATGTGTACAGTCAATATTAAGAAAAATCTATTCAGACCATATTATACTCCTCTTTATACTGCCCCCCTGTGAGCCAGGTTTAAAAATGCAAGCTTACAAAAGCTTAAAGTTGCATATAATGACTCCCTTAGAATACTGTTTAAAAAACCTTGATGACTAGTGCAAGTGAGTTATTTTGTAATGCAGGAGTTAACACTTTTCAGGCTCTTAAGAAACTTAATGTACAAATGTATCTGCCGATTGAAGGATTCTCAGAATTCCATCATTATGCTGTTGACAAATCCCAGTCATAGTTCTGAGCGATACCAGTCATCCTTGTGGCGACATTGGTACAGTTGTCTTTTATGAAGATGATGATGATGATCCAATTAAGTGATGTCACTCAGGGCACAATTATCTGATAATACATAAATGTGTTTTACTGATGTAGACATGTGGACGAATAGCTGAAACAAATTTAGTGAACAGTTTTTCAGCTATTGTTTTTGACCTGATTGTACAAATCTTATTGAATGGTTTTTAATTACAAACCAGGAAACAGACTCTTATCTATTTGGTGCAGGGTAACTGTGTGGTCTTGATGTAACATCTATGTCCCATCTGACAAGGAACAATGAACAACATGAATGCAAAGCTTGCTGTACCAGTCTGTTCCCAGTGATGGTGGCATCAATGCCAGTCTCCTGCTATTTAATCATGATTAAAAGCCCCAACTAAATGGCTGTTTTTGTCCTGATTTTTGTCCCTTTTCATTTTCTAGCTCAAACAGAAGATCCCAGTGACCTGCCGTCAGGTAAAAAGCCACTACACCCTTTTACATCATACTTACCTGCCCCCACTCTTAAAATGCAACACATTCTTCCTCTACTTCAAGCCCACGATATCAGGTAGCTTAAATACATTTCAAGCCCTTTTCACACAATCACTGCACTCTGAAAATGTCTTGACATTATCCAGGTAGACTGCATTTGAGAACGCAAATTTTAGCAAAGATTTCCCAGACAAACCCGACCCCCCCCCCCCCCCCCCCCCCCCCCAAGAAAAAGTCTGTGTGAAGTCAGTGAGAATTGACGAGTTGACTATTGTCTCCAGTATTCTCCAGTGGGGTTAGGGGCAAGTCCAGAAAATGTTGGGGCCTGAATGTCAGGACATTGTCTGAATAATAGATAATCATTATTTTGGGAGAAAGATAAGTGATCTTGAAAGAAAGTGCTGTAGTTACAGTTACAAATCTGTACAGTGCTGATCTTATGTACAGCTGTTCTGTGCGTGCTCCAGGCTGTGCAGGTCCACCTGTGTTGTGTTGCACTGGTCAAAACAACATCTGTTCCAGGGCAGCGTGTTTCTGTGATGAGGCCTGTGTAGCAAAGAAAGACTGCTGTCCTGACTACATCTCTACCTGCACACAATGTAAGCAACATTGATTGAACACAAACAGAAAGAGTTTGTTTGAAAAATCGGATAGGTTCAAATTTAAAGTTGAAATCGTTCTTTTTTGACAACAGCTTTTACAACAACACAGACAAGCCAACACAGTACAACAAGCAGGAATATCACATCTTCACTGGAAAATAATGCCACAACTTCCACATCCCCAAATTCCTCTACTATGGCACCCAGCACGACATCTGACGTACAGAATGTTAGCGCAACCTCAGCATCCATAGTGTCTTCAACTTCAGAAATCAACCAAACAAGCAGCAGTACATCTACATTAGCCATCTCTACAACACCCAGCACATCAGGCAGAACTGCTAACTCCACGCAAGAGGAAATGAGTTCAACTTCAGCATCCACAGTCTCTGAAACTACCAGCCAAACAAGCAGAAATATAACATCTCCAGTAATGAACATGACAAAAGCTTCTACGTCCATGATCTCTGCTGCTACCAAAATTAACCAAACAAGCAGCGGTACATCTACATCAACCGTCTCTACAACACCCAGCACATCTTTTACAGCAAATAGCAGCACAACTTCATCAGTCTCTGGAACAACAGCACCCAGAAAAACAAGCAGCAATACTACCTCTGTGCTAGAAGGTGACAAAACCAATTCAGCATGCACAGTTTCTGATTCCACACCAACACCTATCACAATAAGTAGTACTGCAATATCTGAACCTGCGTCTACAGTATCTTCTACTACACTAACCAGTCAAACAAGCAGAAGTTCATCCCCGCCAGCAGATACTAGCACAACATCAGTCTTCACAGTCTCTCCAACAACAACAGCACCAAGTACAACAGTCAGCATGACTGTACCAGATGTAAGCACCACTTCTCAAGCCACGGTGAAAGCTACTACAGCAAGCAGCCAAATCAGTGTAGTTAGAAGTAGTAGTGTTGGATCTACACCACCAGATGGCCCTAAAACTACAGCCACAGTCTTCACTGCTACAGGTCGGTCATTCTAACTTCTCAAAATGTACAGAAAAGTCACACTATAGAATAAATATATTTGAATCAATATATCCTTGTAATGATTGGTTAAGAGTCGGCTACTTTGACGGGCTCAATAAACACCTCAGGCTTTTAACAATTTCATTTCCTCTTAGCAGGGACAACACTGACGGAAACAAGCACAACTGTCCAAACTAGCAGTGTCACACCTTTACCAGAAGATGGAAGCAAATCGGATGTTTCAACCAGCTCAAATAAAGGTGCACTCAGTTTAACTGACTTCTCTACTTTACTGAGTTTCCTATGAAACACATCTCATTTTCATCTTTATTTCTCCAGATTCCCAGGTAGTGACTGTCCATCTCAAGGTTTCTGTTCAGTCTGATAAGGATGTTCAAGAGGAAGCCGTTTTAGAGGCTTTATCTAATGTATGTGTGAACAACCTGCATTTATGTAGCTCATGAAGTTTGCAGTATAATACTGAGCCCCCAAAGGTTCAGGTAAGAAAAAATAAAAAGCTGTTTACAAATCCGTACCCACGTTTTGCAAATCTGTGTGCACAGATTATAAACCGTGCAAATGGATATTTAAAACATGGGTACAGATTTGAAAACAGCTCTTAATTTTTTCTTACTATGGAGCCTTCGTGGTGCTCCATAGTATCACAAAAACAAGCATTTAAAATACTTGTTTTGTCTCTTACAGTTTGTATACCAGGTCCTTCTCCAGGAAAACTGCATGGGCTGCACTACGTCTAGAAAACACATCAACCCTACCTGAGAGAGGACTGTAAGTGTTTCAGCTAATTTATACATCAGTATGGACTGCTGCACTCCAAGAACAGACTGCACAACCCGTCAGAAACAACTGAATCATCAGAAAACAAAATAGTACTTGAATACAAGTTGAGACTGAAAGCCTAGGCAAATTAAATGCACTATAACCACATATTTATACAGTTGTTTACAGTTTTGTTAGAGCAAACAGAGAAGCCAACACAGATAATGGCAGTTCATTAATGTTTAGTCCAACATTAGTTTTTTTTAAATGACTCACTTAGCATTTTAAATGTATGTCATGCAACAAACAATATCAACTACAATACTACCTATGCTAGAAATATCACATCTGAAATAGCCTACAAATAGGCCTACTAAAGATTAAAAGCATTGATGGAACCAGAAGTTTGTGTTCACCTATCCTCGCATGTTTTACATTCATGGCCTTTAGCTCACAGCATTTGGAAATCAAAATTTCAATTTTAAAGATAAAGGAAAAGCTTAAAAACAAAAGCATGGCTTATTGAAGCATCCAGCAAAGACTCCATCCAAAAATTAACAACAAAAAAATGTTCAAATTCTTTAACATTTCAAGCTCTGCAGGACTTCATTGTTTA